AGTGTATAATTATATTTAATTTGTGCTTATATGTGTATAAGTTTATATTATAGCAGCCAGCATACATCGAATGCTATATATTATTATGATTTAAGGAAAATGCAGATACTGAATGGAAGTTTTCAAGAACCGCTACATGGATGTCCTTCATGAACCAATCCATTTCCCTTCCTCCCCCGTTCAATATAGTACCGTCACCGTGGAAGTACTGTCAAAAACTGAAGACACATAAGCAAGGGGACAGCAGTGAACAGGATATGATGAGAGAATTGGTTGGTACTACTAACCGTACGGTGCCATTAGCGTCTTGATATAGCTTCAAATATTAATCGTCACCATCATCATATTCATCATCATCATCATCATCATCATCATCATCATCATCATCATCATCAGCATCATCATCATTATCACTGTCAATAATATAATCATGCCCGTCGCATTTGGCCTTTCGTAAACCCGCCTTGCCAGCTCCAGTGCCCAAAATTATGTAGTTTTTACGCATGCGCTAGAATTTTGCGTCGTGAACGCAAAAAAAGTTTGTCATCATGGCAAATTATTATTAGTAGTAGAATTATTAAGTTAATAATAACAATAGTAGGCCTAATTGTATATTTTTCATATACATGATACCGATAGCAGAAAGAGATAAAAAATAATTTTATTTGGATGATAATCGTTTATGCTTTTGTTATAATAGTAAACGTATTATTATGGTTGTCATTTCAGAATTCGCGGAATGCAGAATATTTTAAGAGAAAATTTCAGGTAAAATTATCATTATATTTAAAAACTATGTTTTACTATAATAGTTAGGTAAACGTCAAAAAGAAAAGAACTTACGACTGAATGAATAAATGAATTAATGAACGAAGAACGGACGGATAGGGGTGAATGAATGTATGATAAAAATGAATGAACAAACGATTGACCGAACGATTTAACATACAAACGAACGAATACATTACTCTGTATTTTACAATAGCACTTCACCGTAAAGATATTGCAATAAACTCGGCCAATCGATTAATAAACGTATTTATTGATTATTGATATTATTGAGCAGAATTTATAAACTAAACTAATCAATTGATCTGTAAGCCATCTAATAGGTTGAAGTCCACGTGACCATGTATGCCATACAACGAAATTACCATAGCTCCTATGTATTTTTAGAGAGCGTTATCATTTGAGAATCAAGAATCAAAAAGAATACTTTACTGTCATACAAGTGAACAATTAAATTTGTTTTGCTAGTTGCTAAAAACACTATAAACAACATTATTACAATATGGTTAAGCACAAAATATTAAAACATTAAAACTGAAAGATATGACAAATAAATATAATACTTTGCATGAGTTGAGTAATTGTTGTTGTTTATACACTATTATTTCATTTCATTTATTTCGTCAAATAATAACAATACAAACAAAAATTACAATAGACCAAAAATCAGAGACGGGATAAACAAAATGCGAACTAAATTGCTGTATAAAGTTTCTCCGTTGATTTACGGTAATATACATTAATAAATATATATATTTATATTACTATACAGTAAATAATAGCCAAGTATTACAGTCAGTCTTTAAAATCAGATAATCAATAAAACACTTGCAGACGATAATATAGGCCAGTACTGTACGATTGTTTGTTTATAAGCCTTGGCCTTTGAAAAAGGCATGCTCGCTTCAAACTACCAGAAGGTAATGTCAAAATGATGTCTATATGTGTTACACTCAGTCAATCAAATAATAAATTTATTTATTTTATTTTCTTATAACGAAGAATGTTATTGACCAGCTTGTTGATCGATTTGTGCACGAAACAACCGCTGACGAAAACAGTGTTGAAGGCGGGATCTCAAAAAAAGACATCCAGAGTTTGAAGAATGAGGTGGTCTCATTCAGGTAGGAACTTTAACGATAGCCATGTGTTGCATTTATTTCAATTATTATTTTTAATATTGCTACAATATTATATTGAGTTAATGAATGGATTGGATTGGATTGGATTTTTCGGTGTAAACACCAAGGATAGCCCACAAAAGTCTAGAAGAAGACTTGTTTCTAGTGGGGTCCTTTTGGTGATGATTGGGGAAACAACCCCCTACTATTTTCCGAAGAGTGTACTGCGTTCTTTAACGTACACATGGGTCATAAATGCACACGGGACCAACGGCTTAAACGTCTCATCCGAAAGACGATGCGCTATTGTAACTTGTATTCCAGCCACAAGAGGAGGCAGTGATGTGAATTGAACCGGGGACCTAGAGATCTCCATGGTTCAGCGCACACACAGTGGCTACCACCAGATTAGCCGACTGAGCTAAGCTGCTCTCTCCTGAAACTTGTATATTTAGGCAGACAAAATTGAATTTAAAATTAAAACGATAAAATAATTTCCTCGTCAGTTTTTAACAGACGCAAAAACCGTACCGTTCCAAAATTCTTTGCTAAGCCTTTGAATTGGTTATTATTCATCAATGTAAAGATTTGTTTCTGTTGATAACGTACATAATAATTTTAATTAATAAATTAAATAAATGGACCTTTTAAGAAGTGTATATCAAACTTAACAACTGACTAATCAATATGTGTTATTTGATAGCCAGGAATACGCGCATGTCCCACGAACTCGCAAGCCTAATTACATTTACGTTTCAATTGTGTAAGGTCCACGTCTTTAACAATATTCAAAGGGTAAGGCTTAGCGGAAAAATCTATTGTTGATTGTTGGAAATCCAGGTGATAATAGTATAGATAGTATAATCTAGCTGTATGATTATGTTTGGCTTGACCTCTGACATGGTCATTAATGCGTGAAACTATAGCTTATTGTAAACTATGACCTTTATACTTTATTTTTTACAGATATGAATGTGGTAATATGTTGAAAATTCTTAGTCGGGAAATGGACGAAACGGTTAAACAAACCGGACTGACCAAAGACAAACTTAAAATCACTCAAGACATCAGTACTAACGCTACTGTCATTTACAAGAAACTTTCAGAGCAGAAAACCAGTTTCAGTGATATACATACAGATCTTAGGAATCTTAATGATCAAAGGCCTAAGCAATCCCCACAACCAGCACCAAAACCAGAGGTCAAATCTAAGGGCACCAAAGTGTCAAACATGGCTAATTACTTCGAACACGCTGATGAAGTCGGTTTAAGCGAAGATGCGAAAACTGTCTTCCAATAGATTAATGCGAAGATTTGCATATATGATCTGTGATTTAACCGTCAGAAACAGGCTTTGTGAATAACAACATTATAACGGTATAGAACCATA